TTACTCTCATTTAGCCAATAAATGCATTACATCTTTTCATATTCACTTTTTTCTCAAAACATTCATCTTGAATAAGGTTATTACTGACCAAAAAAAATATTCTTAATTAATGTGCAACTTCTCAAAACCGCATATATTAAAAATAGGATGTAGTACAATAAATTAAATTACCTGAGTGGTAATTGGTTTCATGAAATTTCCTTTCATTGCAAGGTGAGAGGTAAGGGATCGTCCTACCCATCTGTCAAAACACATACACAATCACACCACCTTCTTTATCCTTCGTAATCAAACAAACCAAACATATATATATTTCATCCAGATTATATAATAATAATAATAATTATTATTATTATTATAAAAAACAAAAAAATGAAGAATAATTAATTAATTTAATAAATTAGTAATAATAATTAATAACAACTGGTGACGCACCGAACTGATTTTGGTATCTCAAGTATTTGCTTCATCTCATTATTCATAAGGCTATCAAGCTGAGTATAATTAAAGACACGTGGCGGCCGCCCCGCTAACATATCGAAATATGAATAGGATCCGTCACTCTTTGACGACGACGACAGATCTCCTGACGTGTCATTCGATACTATGACGTCATCACTTCTATCCAGCATGAAATTGAAGATATCCTGCCCAAATTAATACCAAAATAACTAATATAATAATAATAATAATAATAATAATAATAATAATAATAATAACAAAAAAAAACCACGTGAATGAGGTAAATATTGGTGAAATTGGTGGTTTGATCCGGCGATGTTTTTAGTCCTAAAAATTGAACATTTTTGTTATTTAGTCATATGATTTTAAAATTTGACGTAATTTTAGTCATTTGGACTGAAAATGCAACAAAATTTAAATTGCTAATAAAAAAATCTTTTGGATGAATTTTTTATTAGCAAATTTAGTCATATAAATTTAATATTTTGCTGCAATTTCAGTCCCAAAGAATAACTCAATTTGTCCGATAAACTACTAGGGGCGTGAAAATTGTAACAGAATACTAACAAAATACTAACCTGTTTGCTGCAATTTCAGTCCCAAACTTTGAACTAAAAGTGCTACGACGTGAAACCAGCATGATTAAAAAAGCAATTTTGTCTAAAATATTTAATTACCACTCCATTACTATTGTCAATGATAACACGATCTTTGAGATCATTGTAAGAATCATATGCCTCCACAAGTTTGCCAGCACCAATTTGTTCGTTTATT